TATCGTCTTTTAGAGATTTTACACTATGTAGCTTTCGTTAGTCATTTATGTAGACTCTTCAATAACCGGCACATAACCTCAGAATATAGAATGTAAACGATTTCGAAGAGCAAAAATATTTAATGTCTATCCAAGAATGATCGAAATTAACAAGATACCTTACCATTAGAAGCATGAATGCTAAGAAAAACTGATCTTTTTTTTGAAGAATCAGTATACATTTCCATAAACGCCGTGAGACTCTACATAGGTGGAGCCTGTAGAATCCACTGTATTCTCGTTTTTCATACCCCACTGCCGACATAAAGGATCATTTATTCCAAGAATCGTTCTCACGAAAAAAGGCACATTTATGAACATCTGTCAGCGCAACATCCGTTACCCATTTGAATTGATATTGGTTGAGTTGGTTCAATTGTCCTCGTTTACCGTTTCCGCCAACAATGACACTTCCTTGTGTGGCTCCTTTAGGCCAACGCATGATTCGATTATTCTCTTCATCAGCCACATAGACAGTGCCCAATTGATCGACAACGACTCCTAGAGGAGATGACAATTGTGTAAGATCATTTCCTTCTCCTTGACCACCAGCCACGACAATGCCTTGTTTTGCACCTTCCATCCATTTCATCACACGATGATTGTCCCTATCAGATACGTACACTGAATGATCTCGATCGACGAATACGTATTGTGGGTAAGAGAGTTGATCAAGACGATTTCCACTTCCATTGCCACCTGCAACCACTGTTCCTTGAGATTCTCCTCTTCGATATCGTCTCACTTCATCTTTTCCAAAGTCAGTGACATAGAGAGATCCATTCTCGTCCATTGTCAAACCCCAACAAGAGATGTTGGAGATGATTGTTTCTCCACTTGTCCCATTTCGACGAGGCCATCGAACCACTCTTTTATTCGAACCATCGCATATGATGAGACTATCTCTCTCTTTGTCGATAATCACATCATATGGGCTATACAATTGATGATCTCCACTTCCTTGTCCATTTCCACCGGCAACCACTTGGCCACTCGTTGCACCTTGTTTCCATTCCACAATACGGTGATTCGCTCGATCAGCAACATAAACTGTTTGATCATCATCAGCATACAAACCCAATGGGTCTGAGAGTTGATTGATTCCATTGCCTTGTCGATTTCCTCCAGCCACAGTGATACCATTTTGTTGCCATCGAGCATTCGGATGAATGTTGGTGCTGGATGGAGAACGTAATGAATAGTCTAAAATAGAGACAAGAAAAACTATAAAATGAGAGAGAGAGAGAACTTTTTCTTCACGGAAATCGGATTTGCTACAACACGATAAATCTTTTTTAGTCAAACTCTAAACTTTGTGAAGAGCGATCATTTTGTTTCAA